TACCTACTGGAATAAACCAACACGGGTTTCAAGTAATTTGTAATCTTTTTAAGATTTATTGCAACACCAAAAATTTCTATCAACCGTCACATTTAAATATTATAAGTCAGTGCACTGGCTCAGACATTCTATCTCCGTTATTTAAGAATTATTTACCAGATTTATTTGATATGGAGATTTCTTTTGAACTACCTATGCAAATTATTGAAAATATGGATATAATTGACGATTATAATGAATATATACTTCCAAAATCAACAAATAAAAGAAAAAGAAAGAAACGTATTTTAAAAGAGTGGTATCAATCACTATACAGCATTTGTGTAGATAATCCTGTAGGATCAACAAACACATTTCGTAATTATCTTCACGAATTCATCTATGAAAAACTACCGAATTCTGAATATGCAAACAAAAAAAGTAGATTGCGATACTAAGCACTTATCAAATATGGTTTGTATCATTATATATGTTGTGCGTCAAATTAATATCTGTGTCTAATTCCTACCTTACCTTAATATGGGCTTTCACCTTAACTCTAATGAAACTCAGTATTTAAATTTGATCTGACACAAATTTTAATTTAACGTATAACATATTAGATCTGGGTCTTTTAAACGATATGTGTGTCTTGATCTACTAAATTCAAATAAATTTAAATTGATCAAATTATAACAGCTTATAATCTCATTATAATCATCTTAGGAAACCACTTATTAAATTATATATTTGGAATTTCAAGGTTAAAATTGAGGAAATCTATTTCAACTGAAGTGAGGGACGTATTTATTTTGAATAAGCATATTTATTGATTTTATTTTATTTTTCATTCAAGTACCGTAGGCAATGATTCGTATTATCACTTTTATTATCAATTTATTTGACGATTTCGATTTCGATTTTTATTTTTAAAGAACAAACTTATTTTCAAAAGCATTCGTTAACTTTGAAAAGAACCCTATTATGTTTAAATTATATACCATTTATGATAAAATAATATATGCAGATCATTTAAATTTTTTAAGCTATATAGACAAAATTGTTCAAACAAAGTTCTATAAAATTCTAAAATAAGATAACAGATAATTGCAATAAGGCAATAGGAATAAAGGAACCAAAATAAAAAAATATGCAATTAAGCTTCATTGAATATTTGAATAATCAACTGGTTAGTGGAAATCCATCAATTCTCTATTCTTTTAATTTCAATTCTTTATGCTCTTTAAATATCACATCGGCTTGCATTATTATCTAAATTTTCTGCGCAGCCTGACACACGTATGGCCGGTAACACGATATCATGAGTGAATAAACGGAAGGCTTATATGCATGTTTGTTTACCGTTGATCTAAAAGGAAATCGTCAATCGGAAAAACTATTCGGTTAGTCTAGAATTAAGTTAATGACATTGATAAAGTTCAAATACAGCTTATGGCTTATGCAGGAAAATTTTGCGGTAACAAAAAAAAGGAAGATATTTAGTTTGAATACTAAAGTCGGGTTAGATCGGATAGAGCCAGATAGGTTTAAGTTTAAAAGGAAAGTAATGAGTTCCTGTATGAAAATCCATACCAGCCATATTTGATTAGTGTTACTAGGCTGATTTAGACATTCATTTTCTTTATTTTCGCTTTATTCTTTCGCCTTGTACACGTGTTTGCTGATCCAGATAAACAAGATTTACATTATATGAATGACTATCTCCTTTTTCGGTTTGTACAACTCGGTATTACGTAACGGTAACCAGTACGCTATATTTGGACGCTGCGCTCTTATAGTTGCAAAACTCTAATTCGTATTAGTAGTTGCATCATTTCGAATCAACTCCTCGAACTTTAAAGCCAAATCGGTATTTTATTAGCTTTTAAATGCTAAATTACTACAATTTCTCGAAAGCACCTCCGATTGAACGTAGAATTCTTTCCTCAATGTTTTGAAATTTTGGAAACTCATATTTGCTTCTGAATACGGTATTTCATAAAACATAAAATCTAAATGGTTAAAAAAAATTTTAGCGTACGATACGTACAATACTTACTGACTTTCTTATTTTTATTTTTTTTAACAAAAAGGCCTTCAAGTAAACTTTAAACCAAAATTAAGGCAAAAATATACTAACATCGGAAACGTCTATTTCTGCAGCAGAAACTTACACTATAAAATACAACACAAGGTATCCCTCAATTATTATAAGTAGTGGTATTTTGTAAGAGGCACAGGATACGAACCAATGTTCTTGCTTTGAAAGAAAACGATCCGTATTATTTCACCAACAATCACTTCAAAGATGCCATATTTCACCGGCAAGCTTATTTTGCAGATGATTAATGTATAGGCAAGTCATTTTGTAGACAGTATATTTCACAGACAGTTTTTTTATAAATTACACTAGCCTTAACTCTAATTCAAACCTAACCCTAACAATGATGACTAGAATTATCTTGTCTGTGAAATGAGCTGTCGGTAAATGTACTGTCTACGAAATGAACTTTTCTGTAAACTAATCGCCTGTAAAATAAGCTTGTCGTTGGAATGTGGTATCTTTGAAGTGATTGTCGATGGTTGATCGGAACTGAAGAACAGCATTTCGATAATACTACTACTATTTTTATGTAGATTATGAATATGATGCTATTAAAGCTCTCAGATCATAATAATAGTGAGGATAGTGTTTGAATCAAATGATGTTGAAATTTTGAGTCTGTTCAAAAATATGAATTTTATTAAAACTCATATATACTCATTGATTATAATACCTAACCGTAAATGCTAATCCAACCACCAACAAAAACAACTTCTAAAAATTTTGTTCAATTTTCCATCATCCTCATCTCCACAATAAACATCGGACCTGTATTATTTCACCGGAAATCATTTCGTCGACATTTCATTTCACCAACAATCATTTGATTCGTCGACAATTATTTTACCGATATTTAGTTCACCGACATGTTTACTGATTCTAAGCCTAACCCTAATGACAATGGCCAGTCTGCGAAACGAGTGTCGGTGATATAAATGCCGGTGAAATAAACTTGGCGATGAACTAATCATTGGTAAAATAAACTTGTCGGTGAAATGAGCACCACCATAAATATCCTATAACATCTTATCACTGTTCAGGGGTATGGTTGAATATTAAAGACTGTGCCCTTCTTACGCCATACCCATTGTGATATGCCAATTGATATATAACATGTAAATCAAGCTTTGTATCTTTCACATGACTTACGGCTATATAAAAAAACATTATAATATCATATCAGACATGACAATTAGAGCCAATGATAGAAATAATAAATTTCTATGGTTGAAATAGGCGTTGCTTTTATTGGTTATTCAAAAAAGGTTTAATTGAACTTAATTTATAGATTTTATTTTATTAATGGCTGTTATATATTTAACCAACTAATCATAATTTATATATAAAATTAATCAATCATAATTGATTATATAATCATTGAATTTTGGTATTTCATAAATGCATGTTGTACGTACGTACGTACCTTGTCGTTGCTGTGCTTAAATCGTAGATAAGAAAGTTGTGACCCTAACTATATTTCTGCATACTACATTGCTTGCTATATTTGTCTGAATTTATATAGAATAACGATAAGGTTGTATGTCTTACTAAAGATCCCATGCATTCAAACAATGTTACTTGGTCTGTGCGATTATACATGGGTGCCTAAATTGCCCATCTTAATAAAAAAAAGAAATTACGGCATTTAGTCAGCCGAAATTAGTCTTATATAGTGCCGAAATTAATTTTCATATTTGCCGAAATTATTGCCAAAATTTTTTGAACTCTTTTCATCAAAATACACCATACAATATAGTTATTTCGAAGGGTTTCATATAAAAAATTTGGCAATGCCGAAATGTTTGCCGAAAATGCGATTTTTCAAAAATAATTTAGACACCCATGTATATGTGCGACTAGCATAAATTTGAGTTTAAATGATGTGAAATTAAACGGGGATAGGCAAAATCGTAGTTTTTTTAAAGCATCTATAGTAAGCTATATGGCATACCATTTTCATCAAGTTTTTCAAGATATTACGGAACAAAATCAAAAAATATCTCATGCTCGTAATTTAATATTTTGGATAATATAACACCATAATATTAATTCCGGCCAAAATTATGCTACTGAGTCTAAACATGTGAAAATTTAAAGTATTAGTACATCGTTTTATAATCAGGTTCAAGGTTAAAAAAAATGAAGTATATACAAAATTTTGTAACGAATTTATTTAATTAGAACACTAAAGGACCAAATTTTAAGTTGTCGGCAATTTTTGGAAAACTTTGATTATTTTTTTGTTACACGATCTTACAATTTAATTGGTTGTGCAGAATTTTTGAAAGTTCCCTCTACATTTAAGTAGGTTGATGTAAGAATATCATGAGCAGTTGAATATTATGAACGAATTTTCTGTTTGTACTGTACACATACGGATCAGGGTATATATACTAAATACCTCGTGATCTTGTTATAGTGATCGGGTATTATACAAAATTATCCAATTTAAAATAAGTTTTAAATTTTAAAAAAGTTTATCATAGCAAAAGATATAAATAACCTTCTCTATTGACTAAAAGCCCTTAAATACTTTACTGATTGCATACTCAGAACCATATGATTACCCCTTGTTTCCATTACCCGCTCTCTAAAAGATATAGTAATCCGTTTCCAATAATCATAAGCAATCATCATATTAACCAAAGACTATACACGAATTCATAAATGCCCACTAGAACATGTGATCCATAAAGTCATCTGATCTCGCAATAATGATCGCCCTGTCACTTCGTTGACAGGCTTTTCAAGTTGATATGTTGAATGTAGTAAAGAGATCACTTTAACTGTAAATCTAGAAATTACGAGTAATTCCAAATGATAACCGTAAATTCTTATGCATTTAATCATATTAATCTTACAGATTTTAATTTCTAATAAAGACATCAGAAATAAGTTATATTAGATGTACCTTGTAACAAGGTTACAAGTTATACCACAGCGATCGATCAGGTTGTAACAGTGTAGGGCACCAATATGCAGGGTTGTCGATCGATCGTAACCTATGTAGTAAAAATGAAGTAATTAGTTGTAATCGGGTAAGCGGCATAAAGAATACCTATTGAACTGTAGTACGATTACGATCGTCGATCGAAATCGTACCGGGAAAAATAAACAATACAATTATGCGGGTTATAGTTAAGAGAATTAATTAGTAATTCGCATAAACAATGTAGTCACAATTATGTAGTTAGCAAATTGAATTGTACAGTATAAAAGAAAAGTATAATTAATGAAAACATAACTCCTTCTTTTGAACGCGATTATCCACGAAAAGAACGGCCGACTACAAACCTTACCGAATCATAAAAACATTACAAATAAATAAGCTAGTAGATTAATATCACGTTCGTC